TTAAAGGTTTTTTTTTCAAAAGTTAGCTCTCTAGATTTTTTTTTTTTTTTTTTTTTTAAGAATTTGAGAGATAATTCCCACCACTTAATCCATTCTATATTCCAGTAAGTTAGAAAAGCCTCAATATTCCTTTAAATTCTGTTTAAACCATAAGAATTTTCAGCGTGTCTTAACAAAAGAATTGAGCCTTCAGAACACAGTAGGAACTCATCATGGAAAGACTCTACGTACTTAATGCTTTCTCCCCCTTGTTAGGTCTCATATGAACTTCCAGTACTGCGTCAGACATGTGACAATTATTTTTATGAGCTTTATCACACATACAAGAGCTCCAGAGGAAAGATAGCGTCTTATCTCTTTCCTTTTAATTACTGCTCCCTTGCTCTGGCTTGCTAGTCAGCACTGTAACGAACATCACCCTAGATCATGAACGAGCTGGACATCTGTACCAAACTTTCAGGGAAAGGAAAGTATTTTGCTTCTCTTAAGTGAAATCACCAAGGCTTCCCAACTGAAAGACTTGTCATTGGCAGTATATGGCTACTTCATAAGCTCTTATCAGAAGAGACTTCAAAGCGAGACACAAATAGTCTACATTGTAGGCTAAGCCTCTTCCTTCAATTGCTACTGCAGTTCAGGAGACAAACAATGTTTGTCAAGGGACTGTAGGCTACTGCTGCTATAAATACTACTCAGTAGCATGACCAGCAACACGTTGAGTGAATTTAAAAAAAAAAAAAAAGGAACTTGTCTTCACTACGTTTTTGGAAAAACAACAAGTTAAAACAGGTCTCCGCCAGTCAATTCACCAATATTTTAAGTAGTCTGTATTATTCAATACAGCCTTTGTTATGGAGACCAGAAGAAGCAGTAAGGTAATTTCTAGTTATTCCCTAGAGCAAAGCACAAGAAGCTTATTGCGGTGGGTTTTTTTTTTTTTTAAAATACATTTAGGAAGTTTTAGGAATGCACATTTATGAAATGATTGGGCACTTCAGCTCTAAGGTTTGATGCACAGAGTTATGTAACAAAAATAGCAGCAATTTTAAGAACTCTGAAAATTGCAACTGCTTTACCTTACTTTTATCAAATCAGCTGCAAAGGATACTGACAAAATTTGAGTATTTTACAGACAGATCTATGAAAACACATACTATGAAACAGCAACCATACTATACTATTTAGAAATGTCAGCGGCTTGGCTTTGCTACTGTTTCCTTCCCACCCTGCCTCTGCGGTAACCCAGGACATCGGATTTTAAAATTTGCAATGTTTTTGCTTCTCGTCCTTTGTTGTTCTCTTCTACAAAATTTGGGCCTGCTTCCTCTAAGTTCCATATTTAAAGTCTGGAAATTCTTCATTTAATATCCAAAGTAGCAATACAATCAATAACCCAAACTGAGATGCACATCCCACTCTTTAGCCACAGTTGCAGTAAGACTCATTTGAAAAGTAAGAATAAAAAAAATTCAACACACAACAGGACGGTTGACTGTCAAGATTTCACAAGGCCCTTAAGTAGAGTATACGTATTTATTTTAGCACTGTGCTACTGCCAATCTTTGTTTGCTCTTCCACAGGCTAAACTTTTAGAGCAAAATTATACACCTAGTGAAAACCAACTTTCATCATTATAAGTCAAACCATATTAATTTCGCCCAGTAGGGATTACCTAGCAGTTTTAGGAAACATAAGACAGATTAACGGCATTTAACTACCAAGTAGCTCCAGTTACCATAGGAGCGGTCTTGTACTTTGCACATAATCTATTTTCAGACTACTAAAAAATACTTTCAAATGTACCTGTGTTCCATATAGCAACTCAATGGCTCTACACAAGTATTAATTGCTCCAATGATGAAAGACGACTTCACATGTGGGTCCGGATGAGTTTGCAGAGCCTGTACAACATCAATAATATCAGTATATCTGTAAAAGAACAAAGTGAGAATTTATTTTCAGAGAAACAAAGTGAAGTATTTCAACATCTAATGAAAAAAATTGCTTGAAACGAGTTTAGGTTTCTAGAAAAGCCCATCAAAAATTGTTAGAGAGCAGTTCAAAACTTTGCATATCCAGACAATTAAGCAGGCTGCAAGTACCATGAGAAATAAAGTATTCACAGCTACAGAGGAAAGTAGTATAAGCTTAGTAATCAGCAACCTGAAGTCTGGCTTCCTGGAAGCCCAAAAAAACATAATACAAGTACAAGCACATTATGCCCACTGCAAAATGTATCAATTTAGAGCACTAAGTTTCATTCAAATAAAGGAGAAATTAATAGCTAACAACTAACACTCAATTTTATCAGCATTCAAATCTAAGTGAGCTATTATAACTAACATATCCATTTGCTATCAGTTCTCCAGACACCACTGTATTATAGTTCTGTTTGATAAAGTTAAAATGAACCTGAGTTTTCATTCCAGATGCCTATTTTTCAGCAACCTATAATCTTTTCTCAAAACTGCATTAACAGTAATAAAGTTAATGGATTGTAGAGAGAACTCCAGCTTCCTTGAAGTTCTCTATACCCACACTTGACTACCCAGAAAACATGGAAAAACCTACAACTTATTAACCATTTCTGAAGCCCGTGTCAACAGCGGAGGAGCAATTATTTTGCACATCAGTGGACTTTATACCATTTCTACCAAAATTAAGAAAAAAAATTCTCATCTACTCTAACACGGAAGAAATAATGCTTTTTAGCGTTATCAGAATGGACCATAACAAAGAAAAAGCTCTTAAGTTTCCTATATGTCCTCAGTGAAACAGACCAACAGTCTGGGAACTAGAAACGTTACAGTCATGTTATGGTAGTATTTTGCCAATGCTACTTGAGCTTAAGAAAAGTGTCACCTGTCTTATACACCATGTCTTATACACAAATAGAGTGGGGAAATATGCTGTAGAAGATACTAGTTCACAAGTACTACGTGTGAGATGGAAATGTTGCTGGCTCAGCGTCTTCATGGAATCACAGAATGGTTGAGGTTGGAAGGGACCTCTGGAGATCATCTAGTCCAAACTCCCTGCTCAAGAAGTGCCACCTAGAGCAGGCTGCATAGGACTGTGCCCAGACAGCTTTTGACTATCTCCAGGGAAGGAGACTCCACTACCTCTCTGGGCAACCTCTTCCGGTACTCTGTCACCCTCACAGTGAAGAAGTTTTTCCTCAGGTTCAGATGGAACTTCCCGTGCTTCAGTTTCTGCCCGTTGCCTCTTGTCCTGTTGCTGGGCACCACTGAGAAGAGACTGGCCTCATTCTCTTGACACCCTCCCTATAGATACTTGTACACATTGATGAGACTCCCTCTCAGACTTCTCTTCTCCAGACTGAACAGGCCCAGCTCTCTCAGCCTTTCCTCACATGAGAGATGCTCCACTCCCTTCATCATCTTTGCGGCCCTTCACTGGATGCGCTCCGGCAGCTCCACGTCTCTCTTGTGCTGGGGAGCCCAGAACTGGACCCAGTACTCCAGGGGAGGCCTCACCAGGGCTGAGGAGAGGGGCAGGATCACCTCCCTCCACCTGCTGGCAATGCTCTGCCTAATGGACCCCAGGAGACCATTGGCCTTCTTGGCCACAAGGGCACACTGCTGGCTCATGGTCGCCTTGTTGTCCACCAGGACCCCCAGGTCCTTTCCTGCAGAGCTGCTTTCCAGCAGGTCAACCCCCAGCCTGTACTGGTGCATGGGATTATTTCTCCCTAGGTGCAGGGAGAAATAGCTCTTGCCTCTGTTGAACTTCAGGAGGTTCCTCTCTGCCCATCTCTCCAGCCTGTCTAGGTCCCTCTGAATGGCAGCACAGTCTTCTGGTGTGTCAGCCACTCCCCTCAGTTTAGTATCATCAGCACACTTGCTGAGGGTGCACTCTGTGCCTTACATCCAAGGGACTGATGAATACGTTGAACAAGCAACCCATTACTGACCCCTGGGGGACACCGCTAGCTGCAGGCCTCCAACTAGGCTCTGTGCCACTGATCACAACCCTCTGAGCCCTGCCATCCAGCCAGTTCTCAGTCTACCTCACCGTCCACTCATCCAGCCCTTCACCTTTATTCGAGAAGAAAATTGACATTTACCCAAAACACTTTAACCAGTCTTACTTAAACATTCCTTGCTGTATCAAGTGAATAGCATATTTTTCACAAGCAGCTTTAAATTAGTAGTTTCAGAGGTCATAAGCTTTATGGAGCTGTTCATTCTGTAGTACAGAGACTCAGGATATACCATATCAGGAGTGCTGAACAAACACTGCACAAATAACTACCATGCAGTATCACCTCTCCTTCCTCCTGTCTTTTATAAACTGAAATTTTGAAGATTCAAATAAAAAGAAATTCAAGTCACATTTTCTGTAGCTAATACTTTTAAGGAATCCAAGCACTGACTACCGCAGATGCAAAGGAAAAGCAAGCATCTTCACAGAGATGCTAGATATCTGGAGAAAACAAAGATTAGTTCTTATGCTCACTGTAGCACATTCATTCTTTGTTCAAAAAATTTCAACAAGTCACATTAGCTTAGGATTTTAAGTTTCTATTCGGAGGAAAAGAAATGCAAATTGAATTAGCCATCTAATTCTGAAAACTGTGAATTTATTCATTAATGATTCTCTAGCACTCACTGACTTTTCAAAAGTTTAAGGTGCTACCAGCACTCAAAGAGCTATAATTACAATCTTTATGTCATACCAGCTCATACTTCCTGAAATTAAATTCTGCTTCCAAGTTACTTAAATTAAAAGTTACCAAAATATCCTCAACCTAATGCTTTAAATACAATAGATTTTCCTGTGAAAGAAAAAGGGAGGTGCTCTGCCCTTATTTTTAAATGAAAACATTTTCCATATTTTAGCAGCCTTTCAAAGAAAATTATACATGAGAAGCAGGGTGCAAACTCGGCTAACACGCCTTTCCGCATTGTGCAACAAATTGTTGTGTATTTATTCCATCTTTCACTGTTATCTGCAAAACATGTGTCCACTGGGGAAAAAGTATCAAGAATTTGTTTGCATACTAACAAGGTCTACAACATGCCACACTTACCAAATGCATTAAAATAATGCAATTGCAGCTACAGTAATATTCACCTACAGCTCTGGAGTGCAATTTACAATATAAACCCCTGCTGTCTCCCTTCTGTTGCCCCCTTCCAAATCTATCGCTGTCAAGATTGCGAGCAGCTTTGCCACTTCAAGAGCAAGTCCGCAAGAGATACGAGAACGTGAGCATGAAACAGTCTCACCAGTCTCTGAAGGACAAATCTCTCTCCATCAAGGACCTTGAGCACAGCTGCACTAATAAAGTGTCATTTAACAACAGTCTAAGATGCAGCTGGAGAAGGCCAAGAAAATGTCTTTTGAGAGGCCAAAAACACAGCCAGCCTCCCATATGCAGAAGGCAAACCAAACCAAACTCAGCCCTTTTCCATATATGATGGAAGGAAGATTTTACAGACACCTTATCTTCTATGGAATAATAAGGAATAAAATTAGCAAGTTGCAGACAAGCTGAGTTTAGCACATATGTCTAACAGAACTAACAGAGCATCACTCTTTAGCGCATGAACTTGACCGCCTCAGACTGACGGAAAACTTAAAATGCCTTGAAAACAGAATGGGAACAGAAAATCCCTTATTTTATGCAAAACTTCAAACATGTTTACCCTTGCAAGACCACTAAGAGTCGCTTGTTCTTTCTAGTGTAAGTGGACTGACGGACACTTTGGTTTTGCTGAGCTTCCAGGACACTAGAGAGGTAACGCTGGAAGTGGGCTGCACTGAAACATTCAGGACTATCCATAGTTTGTCGATAAACAAGCCACCTAAAAAATTAAAAAATAAAGGCAAGCAATTAGTGCTTTAAGAAACCTCTCATATCACATAGAAAAGAGAAATCTGGCCTTGTATTAAAGTTTCAGCATAATTGCATTCTTTACATTACTGCCAAAATAAAGATTTGTGGGTTTTAGGGTTTTTTTTTTATTATTTATTAATGAAACAATGTTCAACAGCTTCTTCAAAGCAGCATATCAGATGAGTAATTCTGATCTACATGAACCAGTAAATGTAAATGAAACTTCTATGAATCTAATTTACAAGACTTTGGGCATGAAAATATTTCACTGCCAAAAAAAAAAAAAAAAAGAAATGATGATATTTGCAGCAACATATGACGAAATGTAGTATTACAGAATATTCAAAAGTCACCTTACGTTTTTGCACTAAAAGCTAACCCACAAAAGTACTCTGAATCTACTTGCTAATATAAGAGATTCTGAGTCAGAACTAAAACAACAAAAGAGTCTAGAACATTACTAAGATTAAACTTTAGGGTTTCAGGTTGTAAGATTTAAAAGAAAGAATTTCTTTTAGAATTTTCCAGAACAAATACTTGTACCAACACATAAAATAAGGCAAATGTCTACAGTGAATTTGTCTTACTGCCATACAGTAACAGGAGATATATTCCGGATACCTACTGCAGAACAGAAACCAGGTCAGATCAAAACCAACGCCGTAGCAGGATTGTTAGTATAGTCTTTTCTCTGAGAAGACAGGCTTCAGACTCACTACCACACAAAAGCAATAAATGGAAGTTCTTCATCTGCTTCCTTAAGTTGTGACAGCTAGTGCTTTCCTATTAGCTTAAGATACGATTCATTTGGGCCCTCCAGGATTATTCTTAACTGTCTGTAGAATCAGATGCATGTATCACAGACCTCAAACGGTATCTGTGGTATTCTAATTCTTAATAGAGAATATCAACAAAGAATTTCTTGTGATGTTTTTCTTGTCTAAATGCCTAGCATTTAAGGGCAAATAAATCTGCTAGGCATAACACAGTTAACCGAGATACCTGAAGGAACAGAATTGCATTAACGTAGTACTTCTTCAAGGCCAATATACCCTACAGCTTGCTACGTAGAGCTACTTCAGGTGCCTCATATTTACTGCATTTTTTTCCTCTATTTTTTCCTCACATCTGAGAGGCAAGTTCGTATCAGCATCCTCATCCTAAGAATCAGATTCTGGGTTATTAAACAATTTAAGTGAAGCATGCATACTGTCATTTCCTTCTCGCTGAATAGTTCTTTGACAATTAATATGACCACTGCTTCAGAACACAAAAGAACAACTATACTAACCTTCCACGTTCCTTGTTAAAAGTGATGAGAAAAGTGCACAGATCGCTGCAGCGACATCCTGGAAGGCCTGTTATAATGGTGATGACCACCTAGCATACAGAGAACAGGTAAGAAATGGGGGCAATCTGAAATGCTAGAGACGAGCTAGTGACAACTTCACACACAAAGTTCTTTATCTCCATAAAATCTGAAGTCTAAATACAAAATTAAGTGCTTTCAATCTGCAGAAGCAGCAGGACAGAGAAGATTACAAGGACTACAAAATGTTTATGCAATTCCTCAGATGTGCATCTTTTTAGAGAGAGAGGTTTTATTATCTTGTTTTTCAGAACTTTTTCCATACCTTGAATACAATGAAGACATAATTAACAAATACAATGTTATCAGAGCTGTTACATGAAGACCTAGTCTGCAGTGGAAGTACTAATGCAAATGGAAAAGAAAACATTTGCAAGAGATATCAAACAGGTTAGGTTTCCCATATAAAATGGGAAGGGTGCGTTCAAGTGTATAGACCAACCATGGGTGAAAAGATTCAACGAAATAAATAGGAAGTGACTACATATCTCAAAACAGTCTTATTGTCAAATGTGAAGAGCAACTCTAGATTTCTGGTACTGATCTGAGTGTGCTATAACCAAAATTTATTCTAGCTTTAAGTAAAGCTGCATGAAGCTTTGAGTAGGATTGGAAAGAAGCTGTACAGTAACAGCTCCAACCTTCCAACAGCTTTTCTGCATAAAGGACCCTTCTTTTCCTGATGCCCACTTCTGGGATATTTAGCGAGGGATCATAGCCCCTTCTGGTATAGCAAAGAAACACTGAAAACCAGTTAAAGTGCCTTGCCAAAGCATATGGTGTTCTACATTATATATACTGGAGGACAGTAAATACAGTGGTAGCCAAGCTAGCTCTGCAAACAGGACTGATACAACTCTTTACACGGTGCTGAACCATGCTGCTTCTAGCATTCAAATTCTCTCTTACAATTTCTAACTACATCGTATTTGAAGATACTAATGTGAAGGCTTTTCTTTGTTATCTTCAAAAACGCTTTTGGATGCTCACACACATTGAGTATTAGTGATAATAGGTATAGAGCAGCAACTCAAAAATCAGAGGTACTAAGTTGGCATGTTTTTTAAGATTTGGCATGACCATTACAGAGAGATTGTTTTTTCTTTTTTGAAACTCACATATACATATCAAAACCAACCTTAAAATCAGACTTAAAAATACTATTAATACGGCTTAATTTAAGTTTCAGTACGGTCTCTGAACTAAATCCCAGGAAATAAAGCTGCCACCATATTGCAATATTCAAAAACAACGATAGACTATGTTCCCGCTTATTTGGCTTTCTCACTTAAAGTGGATTTAAACATGTTCGAAAGTTACTTGGAAATATTTTCTCTGAAAATGTTATTTAAAGCACTCCTGAAGTTTGACAATTGTTATCGCCCCTATAGAGAACTGAGTGTTCTGCAGATATCATCAGCAAATGTTACATATCATGTGCTGCCTCTATGCTATTTAAAGGACTTTTATGTTCCAGAGAACAATTCAGTTAAATTATTCAGCAATTCATAAAAACAAACTACTGCTTTAGGGCTAACACTTCTCTGGGCATTAGAAGAAAACTAGTCCTCATTTTCTGCCTGTATTTTATCAAAGCTGAAGGGCCATTAGCACTTCCAAAAGTGTTTAAATGAAAAAAATTAAGTAATGTAAACATAAAAACAGGACAGAGCAATTTATTCGAAGAAACACAGTTGAAGCAAATTCAGTGTGAATTGATGGTACGGGGAAAGGAGGCAGAGAGCATGGTTAGACATTTATCAGGACTTTACTGCATTACATATAACTAAGAATATTTGGTAACTATCCTACGAAGGGAAGTATTACTGCGTTTCTGCCTTACCTTATCACTTTCTGCTTTTTCAGGAATGATTTCCGACTGTTGCAATAAAATAGGAAGATGCGCTCTCATTATTGGCTCACGACTGACGCTGCTGACCGTAAAGTGTTGCAGAAACCTTTTAAAATTAAAGTTTTATTTTCTTACAATCCAGACAAAGGGACTCTGTTCACATAAACAGCTGACAAATAATTTTACTAAAATAAGACTGCTAGTAAAGGATAAAGGGCTTCCTAGAGAGGAAATAATTCATCTCAGCATAAAAATATCTAGTGTGAAGACAAACTTATTAAATAAGTAATTTTTAGAAAAGTATTATAAATATCAAAATATTTTGTACTATTTTCAGAGAAACCTGAACGCACCTTTCTAACTCTGGGAGGGTAGCCGATAGTTTCAGCTGGCTGCATCTCTCTCCAGAAGGAAAAGACAAGACGTTAAATAGCTTCTGAACGCAGGAGTGTCTGAAATAAGCAAATTAACTGGTTGGTTTAAAAAAAAAAAAAAAAAAACTTAAGAGAGATGGCTACATTAATAACTAGTATAAAAATCAAAGAAATAAACATTACACTGAAAAAGCAAATATTCATTTTTGAATCATTATTGAAGTTTTCATCAAGTGTCAGCATTTTTTCTGAACGTACCACACAGACTCAAGCGTAGATTATACATCAGCTAACTAGCATGAACTTACAGCCTCTTTTGTTCCACAGACAGGAATTCTTCCTGGACAACCTTTAAACTTAATCCTGAGCTGGTCTGGTTTTGCCACGAGGAGAAAACCTGGAACAAACCAGACCAACTCATAAGTGTCATTAATTTGTAAGTTTAGTTTTGAAGAGGTATTTATGTACAGCCCACGGCCTTTTAGGAATTGTTTTTTCGTCTAAAAATATATGCATTTTAACTAGCCCTTTTAAAACAGTATTTCACAACACTGTTTCTGCTAATAGTATTCAAAACATGGAAAATCTCCATGGATCAGATTCTGAAAGCTTCTCTTTTGACTAGATTGGAATTGTTTTAAGAAATAACTACTGAAACGACCTAGTTTTCCCCATCTTCATAACTGGGAGAATATTGCTAGGGAAGAAGTTACCCCAAAAGCAACTGCACCATTCACATGCATCCTTTAGCCATAACATGCTTCACTGCTAAGAATGCTAAGTATTTGTAATAAAACTGTAGTACAGCAAGAACTGTATGAATATACACCTCCTTCAAGCAGTCCTGTAATTTTCATGAGGTAAGAACATAGCAAACATATTTCTAGAAATACAAGAAAAACTCTGTTCCTTCCAAAAGAAAGGGAGCCCTCAGTTTCTCCTGGGAACAGTGTTTTGGCTCACATCCAATTCCTCTAGCCAAGTTACATTAATATGAATGGCACTGTGAACCTAGAAATCAGATTCAGATGAATCATGCAGTTATTTAAGTGCTCAGTATTTCCCTTCTTTTAATAAGGCAACAGCCATTGTCATTTTTCACAATAATTTGCTGCAAGACAAAACAATGTCGGGGGGGAGCAGGGGGAAGACTGCTTTCCATTAACAAATCAGCATCATAAGCACAAGACTACTGAGATAAAAAGCATCAAAACAAAATAAACTTTTGATATTAACGAAGACAATCTCTCACGCATGGAAGGATTCATGCGGCTGAACAAATAAGCACTTCAGAATGCATACAAGGACTGAAGGAAATGGAAAGAGGGACTGGTCAACAACAACAAAAAGGGTATTCTTTAGCACTCAAAGGGCTAGGGATAAAGTGAGAACGCAGGTCAGACTGAACAAGAACTTATCAAGGAAAGTAGCAAAATAAAAATCTGAGAACTAAAAGAATATGGAAGGAAAAAAAAAGTGCTATGACATTAGAAAAGGTGGGGGGTGGGAAGAAACCAGGACATCTCAAAGTCAAAGCAAGTTCTCCTTCACTATCAGTGAGGATGTGAAAGGTGCCATTCTGTCTTCGCGGCATCTTCAAACCAGATTCCACTTCTGCGTTTTCAAATAGACGTTGGTTGCAACCAACATCCCCATCACAAGGAATTTATTGCACTCAGATCTGGAGGAATGGATATTTGCCATTCCCTATTTCAAGGAGGCTTGGAACATTAAATAGCAAGTGTGCAGTAGCAAGTGTGTTAAGCCAGGTATCACGCTACGTGATTGAAGAAGAGTAGGAACGGTACCTACGTATTAACGAATCTTTGTATGTGCTGTAACTGTTACTTCAACGGCATGCTAAGTTTTAGAACAGATTTTGGAAGAAAATAACAAATAGCTGAAGGTAAATAGTAATAAAAATACCTGTAATATCTATTTCCCACGGCTTACACTGTGAGGAATACTTGATTTTATGAATAGTTTTCTTTAATGAGATAACATTTTCTAGACAAAAGACATGTTTTATCTACTTGAACTTGAGCAAATCATATGGTATGGAGCCAGATAAGAAACAGTTAAAACTGCAGAAACTGAAGGTCAGTATGGAACTGTTAGGCAGAAAGCTAACTCAAAGGAGGACAGGTCTAAATAGGGCAGAAAGAAGAAGCATCAGGCTGGGGAAATTCACTAGCACAGTTGTTTAGGGAATACGTTGAGAGATCCTTTTAAACGAGCCTGACACGAACTGAAGTGAATCCACAGCTTTCTGGGGGGGCAAAGTTGTGAGACAGTCTATACACCACTGACGTGATTTACAGGGCAAAAAAGATCTGAAGAATGGAAGAACCAGAAATAGCAATAAAAACAGGAAGAAGGTAGGTATGGGAAGCAAGAGTGAGCATGCAAAAACTTCTATTATCTGCAGGAATATCAGTGGGGAGCAAAAGAGAAGGACCTGAAGGAGTTTCTCATAAAATGACCATGATCTATTAACTGAAGACAGCAGTGATAAAGCAGAGGCAAACCAACGACACCTCAGGACACTTTCAGAAGAGACAGAACTGTTATTGCCTCTGTACAAGAAACATGTATCTTCATCTCGAATGCTGCACACAGTTTGGACATCTATGGCCAAAAACCAATAAATTCAAACCAGATCAGACAGAGAGAACAATCATGAGGCTCAGAAGAAAAGAGAACATTTTAGAAGCACAGACTAAAAAGGATATTCTTTCAGTCTAAATAAGCCAAGAATAGAATGGGTCTGAAATCTCTGAGTACCTCAAGGATGTTTACAGGGAGAATAGAAGAAAAAATAGGTATAAAAGTAGATCTAATAAAATAGGCTAGAAATTTAGAAAAAAAAAAAAAATTCCAACCACCAACATAGTGGAATAGTAGGAGCAATCTAAACTCTTTCAAGGTAGAAGAAGGAGAGATTTTACAGTGCCATTGATGCTGTCAGTGCAGACTGTACTTACTCCTTGAGCTAGGTGGTTTTTTCCAGTCTAGTGTTACGATCACATACTAAAATCCTGGTGAAGTCCTAAAACCTCCAGGGTCATTTCCTCAAAAGTGCTATTGTTATAAGGTTTTGTTTATTAAAAGCCTCAGCACTATGATGCATGAGGTTAACCTACTTGAGAGAATAACACAGTACCATACGGTATATTTAAAGACTTTAACAAAACTTCCCTAAGAATCACGGTCTAAACACGTTTAACCACAAAAAACACACAGTAGAACCTCTGCCACTCCATAAAATTGCTGTACCCATGTACACCAGCGCTACGTTTAAAACGTAACCACTACAAAATAAGCTTTTAGAGCACTCACTGACTTCAGAAGACAAAATGAAAGCATACGGTGGCTGTCAAACTTAACAAGCAATGTGATATAAAGCATGTTATACAACACGTATTGGGAAGGACTACAGGTCAAGGCAATCTTTGGAGACTCTCTCAATGTTAAATTCTACAAAACAGAAAACATACAGAAGGTCACATATAGAATCAGTATTTCTGGCTGAAAGAGAGCCTCTGAAGATCTCTAGACCAAACCTCCTGCTCAAAGCAGGACTACTGGCAATATATATTAGATCAGCCATGACCTTGTCTAGCCAAGTTTTCAAAACCTCCAAAGACGGAGATTCACCAGTTCCTAGCCTGCACTGATACATGGGGTTATTCTGCCTCAGGAACAGATGTTCAGTTTTCTTGAACTCCCTGAGGCTTCTGTTGATGCGAATTCTGAAATTTCTTAAGGTCCCTTTAGAAGCGCTAACATTCAATGTCAGCGAGTCCCTCAACTCAGTATCATCCCAGGGTTGTTCGTGAAGATATTAAATGACGTTGGACACAGGAAACAATCCTTTGGTGTTCTGTTCATTATCAACTGCTCACTGAATGTCAAGCCACTGATTATTACCTGTTGAACTCTGAAATACAGTAAATTTTCACCTAGGCAGTCCACTTCTCTGAACTGTATCTCCTTAGCTTCCAAATGAGAATGCTACAAGATACTGTCAAAAGCATGGCTAAATTAAGGTATGTTAACATCCACAGTGTTTTTCTCATCCACGTAGCCAGTCATTTTATCATAGAAGGCACCGAGGTTCATCAAAAGCATGGTTTGCTTTGGTAAATCCATTCTAAATATTCTAAATTACCTTCTCGTCTTTACCTTTTTGGAAGTGGTTTCCAAGATGTGCTCTATTATCTTTCCAGGGACTAAAGAGGTTAGACCAGTACAGATTGGTCTAGTTCCCTATGTCCCCTTCCGCCTATTGCAAAAACAGGCGTAACATTAGCCCTTTTCCAGCCGCCAGGGATGTCCCCCAGCCCCCATGGTTCTACATAAATTATAAAAGCAGCCTCAAAATCATATCAACCTTCTCTTTCAGTATGCCTAGCGAATCCCATTCAGCTCCATATAGGGGATTCTCAACGTACTTCCTAACCTGTTGCTCCCCCAGTGTTGGCCACCCCTTCTCCTTTCCAAACTGTGCTGGCTCGCTAAGGTACAGGAGCAGGGTTTTCCTGTGAAGACTGAAACAAGAAAGACCTAGAACTTTAACCTGTTCTGTATTATCCATCAGATGATAAGCTTTTGTGGTTCAACCAACATGAGAAACAATCTCATGTTCTGCTCAAACTTAATCAGTTAACATAGACATGGTAACAAATTCACCCTTGCCACTCCTCTGACATACATCTGAAACACCTAAAACTGTTTTAGGTGAAAAACCAAAAAACCCCAATGTTCACCTTACCTGTGAATAAAAGGCTTTATAAATCTTTGTTTTGGGGAAAAGTGCAATCATCAGAAAGTTTCCTTGGGTATGGAATTCAATGGGTAAATGATCAAGCAAGGAACTTTTGAAGTCTATAAAGATAGCAGCAACAATACTGGTTGAATCCTAGAAGGGAAGAAAGAGGATCATTTGTAATTAAGAATTACTAATTAAAATTGAGAAAAAGACTTAATACATTAAATTCCACAGATCAGGAAAAGAACTATTACAGTCATAGTTGGGCATGTACAAGTATCCGAAGACTCTTTAACTTGCATTATGCAGGTAAGCCACAGAAGGATCAACTGCCATCACTTCCAGTACACTGCAATTTCTACTTCCTCGCTATTAGAGTTACCATAAGCTTTAAAGAAAGCACGCAAGGTTGTTAACCCGAACGTTGACTCTTCTTGAAAACAACACGCATTTTAATATCTATTCTCTTTCCCCTCTTTTCCCTCCCCCAAAAGTAGAACTTTAGCCCTTTCAGCTGCATCTAACTCCTAAAGCTTCACAACAGAACTACCTTGTTAATCTATACCCATACTTCTCCTCTGATACAGATACCTTAGGAGAGCGAATTAAATCTGTCACCTAAACAGATGAGAAGGACGGTATCAGGCGATTACTGACTCTTTTTATATCATTCTCTTCAGGTCCTGACATGAAAGGAACCATGCTGCAATAACATACAATGAACAGGCCTGCAATTTATACGCCACCTGCATGTTGGCAGTGCTATGTTTCTCTCAGATTCTTCAGTGATTACAAGTTTTATTAAATTTATTTCTCCTTCAGCTGGATTGCATGACTTCACCAACAGAAAGCTGAAGTCCTCAAGATTGGCCTCCCTCAGAAGCATGGGATTCACCAGTTTCAGTCTCACTCTGGGCTTAATAAATTGACACTATCCCTCGGTTTTCTGAATTCTAGGAGAGTTGTTTATGTAAGACTTCACAGGATGCTAAAGTGTTCTGCTCTCCATCTCTGACTTCCAACTCTTGTCTTTTCCCAAAGTACCAGACATATAGTACAATTCAGTGGTGTGAAAGTATATCCCTGGAGAACGGGGCTTCTATTACTCAGTGTACACATCAGAAATCTAGTAATGCTCACCTCTTTCAACAGATTAAGTGCACTAAGAACTCTACTTAGTAATTTTAGAGAAGTAAGCTCAAGCTGGGGAAGATGAATAGGAATCACTGTCAATTCAGAGACATTTACAAACAGAATCTCTACCCTCTTTGCTTACTCAAGGAGTAGTTATAAAGCAAGCCTCTAAAAATCATTGACGTTACTGAAGAATATTCAAGAAACGTGGGAGACGGTCACTATCTTAAGAGAAAATGGCTTTTAGACTGTGGTGCATAGACCCTGGATTCTGTGGGAAAACTTGCAGATTTCATGACAACTGACAAAAAGGCAAATTCATACATGCTGCAATTATGTATGGAATGCCTAACACAACGTGCACCTCCCTTTATAAAATGCTTAGTTTTCCACAAATCGAAAAAAGCTGAAGAAATGCAGCAATAATCCCCACAGACATTGGGTTAAAACAGCCTATTAAAATAGCCTAGAATTTTACAAGACATTAATGCTATTGTGAAATCTAAGTATTACTTAATAATGTTTGTTCACTTGATGATTAATGGCCAAAATGAATATTGGATTCAGGTGCTTATAAGCTTCAAGACCTGGTCTTACTTAAAACTGAAAACCCAGGACAGAGTATCTAGGCTCTATATGGTCAAGATGTCTTGATACAATACAGTGATATCCTGAACAGCTACAGAAGAAAAAAAATAAACCTGAGAGTCTGGAGCCTGGCTGGCATCTCAGTCCGCTGCGTTTTCTGCTTTTCCCCAGAATGGCTGGTACAAAGCTAGAAGGGTGCTGCCCTACATCATGGGTGTTTGGAGATGTAGGGCTCTGCTAAGACTGGTATGCTGTCTTCTTTAGATCTTCGTAGAACAGTCTTGTGAGGGATCTGACACTATCCTCCACGCTTTGGGTGTCTACAAGCCTCAAATACTTCAGGAGTTTAGGTGGGAGCTGGGTGCCCAGTCCCTCAGAATAAGGACACTTTTGGCATGTGTTCGAGGCAGAACAGCAGACATGTTTTCAGGTCAAAAAGAGAAGCATCTAGCAGGCACAGTGAGACAGCTGCTGAGTAACTACATTTTGCCTCACCTAAAGTCTTGCTATTTTGTATTTTAAATTTACCATTAAATTATCCTTTCCTTTGCATCTGTATTGTTGTTATAGTAGCTTTCAAAAAGGCATACGAACAATTACCCTTCTCCTCTTGTCACTTCTTAATATCTTAAGCTCTCCACCCCTGCATTATGCCAAGTCAGTTAGACAATAAAATTCTCTCCGTCAAGGTTTAGCTTTACACAAAAATCTGGCATCAGTTCAAGAACGATAGCCAGGTCCCATAAATAGCTAAAGTTTTATGAAAGTGAGCGTCTTGAATCAAACAATAGAAGGAAGGTCAGTGTTAAAATAGCTTCTCAAACTATGAGGGGGTAATCAATACGATCTACAAGAAAAGGCAGCTAAGGTAAGATTCTCTTCACTGCTGTGTTTTCATCTCAATTGAATCACACACACTTTTACTGTATTTTACTGTTTTCCTCCATTATATGAGGAAATCACAGCCACACAATGCTCTCTGGAGGTCACTAAACAAATGTCTAATAGTGTACCTGTAGAAAATAGAAACTAAAGGAAACAAAGATGTCTTTTCAGTGCTTCGGAAATGATAACCACCCAAAATAATCTCTCCTTCCCATTCCAAAAAGATCTAGTCGACTGCATAAAGAGAGAAAAAAAGTTGCTGTCATTAACCTACTTCTCTATTCCCAGATAACCTTGCCAGTAAAAGAAAATAATCAGAATGGCAAGTCAGTCAAGTTAAGCGAACTGATATAGCTTGATCACAGGAACAGCAAAACTCTGTCTCTAGCATTGTCTTTTACTGTAATTACTAGTATGTGTAATTACAGGCAACGCGTCTTTCCTCATTTCTCTCAACTTGGAAAATGCGGACCAGTCCTTCCCTTCACCCTATCAGTTGCACAACACTCTACAACAGTGGACAGACACTCCTGGTGAGCCCTCCAGAGATAAGCAGTATGTTACCATGAACATTTGACTGAAGGTTAAGCATATTTCGAATAGAAGGCAGCATTTCACCCATCAATACACCCATCAATGACTACACAATGCCTTGAACTTTTCTCTATCCAGCACTTAAGAGGGCTAGGTGTTTTACGAATGCTACATTCCACAACTATTCTGTTAATAAAAAGTATTTTTCCATACCATTGAGAATGCATTAATGCAGTTCTCTCCTACCTAGAGTGTAGTTAATCCAAAGCCAACACAAAAGGTGCAGGGATTTGCATTGATACCATTAGTTTTATATGCTCTTAAACTAAAACTTTACCTGAAAACAAGCTCTTGTACTGGTATCTTAGAGTATTTTTGAAATTGATAAAAAGTCTATGGCAGTAGGAACAGATAAACAAAATACTCACCCCATCGTAGAAAGAAATGGAATTCATATGGTTTTTTGAAATGGAAATGCTGCCATGGTGAGGATGAGAAAAGAGAATGCCATCTGAAAAGAAGTACAATTTGCCTAGAATTTAAAAGAAAGAGATTGATGTTATGAGGTGTCTATCAGTATCTCAGCATCATAGGACTAATGCCTCTTCTTTCTGAAGAAGAAATCTATAGCCTTCCAAAACTGTCATACTCAACATGGAGTACAACATTTGAGTAAAGAACTGGGATAATACCTGTACAGCATCCAGTGCGCAACCATCAGATCTCTACTGGATCTCACTGTCACAGGATAGTCATGAATACGGTTGCATTTGCCTCAATATTACCACGCAGAGCCAACTTATCGCAAAAAATTTTTGACTTTAAAAAAAAATAGCCACATAAGAATTTCCATCATGATTAATTGCAAACTTACCGGTAAGTCAAACTTTGACAAAATAAGCAGAAGTTGCATCCAAAACAACAGAAAATTTAAACATGGTAATGCTATTAACAAAGGTCATATTTTCACCAAAATTTCAACATATTAACATATACCATGCAGCCAAGTAGAAAAAAAGTCAGAGCAGACGAACTTCCTTCGCTCTCTCACCAAGATAAAGTTTAAAACAGGCAAAACCCTTTATCTGCAGGCTTGAATTTTATTTCGCATACAGACTGTTACTGCGCTAGCAATTTCGCTGGAAGCTATTAGACTAATAACAGCTAAGCGACACAAGTATCCATTCCATTTCCTTCTTTCTTGCCATGTTATGAACATTTAGACTTTTAGCAAGCCTGCACGACAGCAGCTGGAAAATGAAAAAAATAGCAAGGCTAGATGATAAAACAGAAAAATAAGAAAATTCCTTTAAAGCTCCATAAACTGACATTGGCAAAAATACTAATTTCTGACAGCCATAAGGAAACCATGAACAAAGAATAAGTAAGGGCTGCTACCTGGACCTCTACTACCAGTACTAGACCACGCATTAAAAGCGGGATCACATATCAGACAGGGAAGCATGTAGAGACAGTCAAAGAGAAAGGTAATTACTTTCTTTTTTAAAAAAGCAGCATGACTCAGAGTTATGCTTTTTAAAAAGCAAAGAGCAGAAGGAACAGCTAAAAAATATCAATCTCAAATATCAAGCTCAATCTATCAAACAATGCTCTGAAGAAACAATAAAAGAAACAGAGACATTTTCCTCTTGAAATGGCAAGTTAAAATAACATCCTCAATTTTTCCAGTATTAGAGCTTTAATAAACAAGAGAGCTTGATGCAAATCAAATGATTGTGTCTGTCTATTATACCCAGATAGGTGATTTTAAGTTCCATAAAAACCATATTGTCCCTGTTAAGATAAGCATGTAACTGTTTTAGACTGAAGCTTCCAGTTAACATTAGGGCTGCACCAAAAAGATGGTAACTACTGAACAGGGAAAGACTAAAATCACAAATTCAAGATCCCACTGCAGAGCTACTGAAACGGAGACAAAACCTGGATGTTAACCAACGCACTACATTTGTGCAGTTAATTAAAAAAGCTATTCATGAATGGATGGATTACATGGATGCGGAGGTTCAACTGTTTAATCCACATATAGAAGAATGTTGTCGCTTATACTTCCAGTGCTTGCGAAATTCAAAACATAGCACAGGTAACATGCCTTCTGTTGGACAGCTGAGGAAGACAAATGGCACAACACAACACCTAGAGTACGCTTTGTCAAATCTCACAGAGTATTACACTTCATGGAGAAAGAGTCAATGGGAAGAAAAAAAAAAAAAAAAGGAAAGAAATTACAGTGGTTGATTATTCTGGAACAAAAATGCTCTTCTGCAAAGAGCAGTAATTCACCCAAACCGGAATGGCCTCCTTCATATTACAATTAGCCAATTATAACAAGTATAACTTTATATACTACTTTTATAGTTACCCACAAGTTATTAATGCTGGGAGAGAGCATTTAATTGGTAAAAGTGATCGACTCACTTAAGTACATCCTATGAAATTCTGGAATGCAGCAGATGTATTAGCATAATAAGGAAAACACTAGTCTGATTTTTTTTTTCTGCTATATTTTGGACATGAATGCAACCCCGCTATTAAAGTAAGAGACAAACGACAGAGAGAGGAGATGAGTGCATGTTAGTGTATGACAGCACCTCTTCCACCTAACCGTGCCAGACTACACAGCTGCAAAGAGCACAAACCGTACAAGATAGCAAGTTCTCAAGATAGCAAACTACCTTGCAGCACATGTGAAAGGGAACATGATCAAGTTCATTTTCACTTGACACCTAAGAAAATATCTCTTTGTTGAAGTGTTACATAATAGCCCTTATGCCACCTACTTATAACTCTCCATCCCAAGAGCCATGAAAACATTCAACTTAAATCTTACCAAAAAAGGGAAAAGTATATTCCTCCACTGGGACAGACACAGCCACTTTTCACAAAGCCAAATAAAATCACTATTCTTCTCCCTCACTATTTACCGAGTGAAACTGCACCCACAGCAGTGCATTGCAAAATAGCTAAATATATTATTCTGCATTGTCCTTCCTACTTTAAAATCTGTTAAGTTTGAGCCAGAAGTAAATTCTGACGTGTGAAAATAGCTGCTGAACTGCCATGCACATCACGCCTTATCCTCAGTACTACCTTTGTGTAACTACAAAAACAACAAAGCTCAAGATTTTCTCAAAGCTGTCAACTTACGCTAAGCGCTTAGATGACAGTTGTAAGTTACATTCTGTTGTGTATCAGTACTGCGACAACAGTACCTTCACTGGACAGAAGGAATGAAAATATCAGGCCTTAAGGAGTATGTTTTGATTTAGAAACTCCTATTTATTCTTCCATGAGTTTTCTCAAAACAAAGCAAGGTGCGTTAACGCAAGGATGTTGAGTGAGAGAATTCGCTCTGCCCTACACCCCCTCACCCCAGCAATCCTCCTGAATTCTCACAGTCATATAACCGGGGGCATGCATGTCACTTAATTTCTTGAAGGGAAAGGCACTAGAAGAGCACCAAAGGTCTATCTGAGACCAATATCAGTAATTTCGTGTGTCAGAACGCAGTTACTTAATTGAATCTGAAAAGGACCAAGAACAAACATTTTTCTCTGATACAGTGAGCACCTGTCGTAATCAACACTGACGTTCCCGAGTGAAAACGACAATGGAGAAAACTGGCACAACGTCAGCTCCAGGAAAAAAGCTTCAGTGGAAGCGAAGAACACAAGACTGCAAATAAATTTAGAATTAAATCATTCCAGTCGCCTCCTCCATCACAGGCAGCGTACTACACTGCCCAAAAACTGCTTACCTATTTGCCTCTCTTTCTTAAGCTGGAAGTCCACTGCATACTTTCACTATTTCAGCCCGCAATCTTTCCAACCTAATCTTCATACATGTATAGAGAAGCCACAAGACACTATCTAACCATTTAAGGAGAAAAGGAGCCAGTTTGCTTCCTCCCATAGTTAAAGTTCCAGAACATGCATAATACCCAGGTCTGCAAAGACTCATTTTCAAGCACGTGATGGGAGTCCCACGTGCCTCAAAATCTAACCTATGGCACTGATAGCAAACCTTCTCCTAGAAGGAAAAAAGAGGTTTCAAGCAGCGGTTAAAGTCAAAGAAAAACATGGTGTTTGACAAGAGGGAGTTACAAAAGCAAAAGGAAAGAAAGCAGCTTAGGTACTTTCACCAGATTTGCGAATCCCAGAAACCGTCTTTGCAGCTCTCGCTCATGTTAAAAAAAAAAAGTAGAATGACTCTAAGCAAACGAGGAAGACAGCTCACCTTCCGCAGGCATGGCCTGTGGATTGCTAGAATAAATGTATGCTCCATCACCTCCAGTGAGTAAAGTGCCCAGAAAAGATTTATCTTCCTAAAGAGGAAAACAAATAGCAGTATCACAGCGTGCAGAATGTTTTCTCACGGCTTTGCTTTCAAGAATAAAGAATTTTTAAATAGCATCCATCAGAACTCTTTAAAAGGGTTTTAAAGAATACTGATAGAGAAGAACTAGTGAAAGACATAGCATGTCAAGATCATAATTTTTAAAAGCACTTCTCCTCTACTTGGTCTTGCCAGCAGCTATTAAGTTGCAAGTTACTGTCACAACCACAAGGCATAGCTTTTTGTTTTTAGAATGTCAATCTACTGAACTAAAAGTATATTTCAGGAAAATAAATCTATTTGTAATGAAGATTTCTGGTAACCACAAATTAAACCACAAATGTGAAACTCATGTGGTTTAAGATGTACCCAGATCCCAAATTCTTTTCTTTTTCATCGTGCTTAAAATGTTTTCCTTCAGACATTCAGCACGCTTGCTAATTTAGTTAAAAGAAAGCTGCATGTAGAGTAGCATCGGTCTTTATTTTTTTAACACATATGAGCTCCATGGGTAGTATTTAGTGAGACTTCCATGGAATCTTAGTTTTATTAGAACTCTTTTTGCTGTTGGGTTTTGTCACTCACTGAGCTAGAGAAAATCCCAAACTTTTATATATAATGTATCTTTTTTTGCAGGCCACAGTCTGAAAAAACATAGTATAGAACAGGCAAATTTTTCTTACGAGTAAGTGGAAGAGTGAACAAGATACAAGTCAGTCTTACCAGCAGTTAACATTTCCGATACAGGAGTTATATTTTCAAGAACCAGTATTGCAGAAATGTTAAATTTTACCTTCAATACATGTTGTGCCTTTTCAGATAGTTTCACATCACTGTCTTCAACCTGTAGCCAGGAAGAGTTTCCATTTGTATTATTAGCAGGTAAAGCAAGTCTAATGTTCAACTACTATATTAAAAAGCATTAATGAAGATACAACGCAAATGACAACCTTAGGTACTAGAGATGGTTAAAAGTCTGGAGACCAGACTCTGTTTTGAAGACAAGTTTTGTACTTCTCAATACTGTGTTACTATAGGACTGAAATAGCTCCTTTGAACATATTCAAGGAGATACCCCCCAATAAACAGTTTTTATATGCTAAAATAGTATTGCATAGACACCAAGGAGTGCCTGCCATTTGGTCTTTCATTATTATTATTAAAGCATTTCAGAAGTGTGGATTGCCAACGGGTATAAAGTGGCACAGCTTAATAGCATTTATGAGAACTATACTTTTAATATAGAGTAGTATATTAGAGGTCTGAAAGTAGTAGTAGTAGTATTTCTCTTGGAGTAGACTTTTAAGTGATCTTAACTGCCCCAAAATAAACATAATTTTAAAAAGTCAGACTGTGTACTTAAAAAAGCACGCTTGTAGCACAGCTAAAAATTTAAGCGGTGAAAATGAAATAATTTAAAACTTGTTATGAATGGAACCATCAGCCTGTTTCCACTTATTAGTTACACACTTAGTGTCCACAGTTAAAAAATCATACTATTTCAGAATTCTATTTCATTACCCAAGTCTTTGATTTAGTCTCACACACCTATATACCTATATAAATATATCTATATATTTATAAAAAGTTTTCTTTTGTCAATTTGTATATAAAGAAAAAAAAGCTTCAAACAAGTTCTTGTGTACTAACCAGCCAAGATGCGTATCTTGGAATAGCTGCAGTCAATATTATGTGGCTGGTTTCTGAATTAATACTGCCATCTGCAGGGAAGTAAATGAAAAATAAAGAAGTATAATATGATCTATATACTTCCTACTGTTTAACAAGTTAGTTCAGTTTTTTAGTGTTTTTTTAAGAAATATGAAAATTTCCTTATTATTCGAGGGACTCATTATTGTATAAGTGAGGCTTTCCTAACAGAGTCTTCCTCATATTGCAACATGCCCAGAACTGCTGTCCAATATTAAAAGAAACACAGTTTTTATTCTGGTCTTGGTACACGCTTCTCAGACTTCCTTATCACATCCAGCTTTTCAGCTATTTGTTGTCTCTTTCTGACTCGCATTATGGCCTAAACTACAGATTTCCCTTTCCTCCTCAACTTTTACTTGTAGTCTACCCTGCAACCTACCCCAAACTGGTAGCCCAAGACTTATGTTTTTGAGGTTGGACTGCAAAGTTCAAACTAATATATATTAACGCTAGCGTCTGAATGCATGATAGGGGTCTTCCTTTGGTCTCTTCCCAATCAAAAACATTCCAACTCCCATGGTTAAAAACCCAGAGCAACAGCGTATCTGGATACAAGAACTCATAAATATTGCCCACGCAACCTTAATAATCAAGTCTGTCACATTTAAACAGTCTGGAAAACATTCACTTGTTTAAAGTTCTGGAGATTACTCAGTATCCTGTATGTTAAATACAAGATTGTTCCAAGCCCTTTAGAAAAACCTAGCTTTTGTTTAATCTCTTCTAGATAAAATACAACTGAAATTAAAATATCACTTAAGAAACGAGGGTCACAAAAGTGACAAACAACTGTTGCTTCAGTTTCCTCATACAATATAAAATATCGAGATAGAAGAAAATTTGGGAAGGTTACTTGCACACTTGACTTTTTACGCTTCAACGTTTTATGCATCGGCACGTAGCCAAAAAAAGCCAAGATTAGAGAAGCTCTCTTTAACATTTAAGATCTTGATTATTAGCAAGCTAAAACGTTTAGGCCTTTTCACTAACTAAAAAGCTTAAAAACATAATGGTGATAGTAATAAAACATCCATTGGAAGCCCTTTTGCTATTCCATCACAACAAATCTAACAGACCAACAAAGTCAGTGTTTCAACTCAAAAGAGTTACCTTTTTCTTTTACATGTATCTGTGAAGTTAGAAAGGATTCCGAAAAGACTACAGATCCCCAGTGTCCTCTTCCTGTGAGCAAGTCTGGAATGTCAAATACTGTCATAGATGCCTAGAGTCATCACACAGAGGGAAAAAAAAAAAAAAAAAGCAAGCAGAACTTTAAGTATTTCAAGTAAAGTAAAGTTCCCAAGTTTCAAATTTCCTAAAACATGGTACTTCTATATTGTTGTAGGGGAAAGTCTGAGACAACAACTGTATGTTAATGTATTCTTTCAAATTCTGCTACCCAGCTTTACATGTAAAACTCCAATCTTATCTCATTTATCCCCTCACGTTTGTATTCACACAGTGTGCCCCATTAAAAAAAGTATGCAAGCTCCATTTTCTAACAAAATATATAAGCAGAATACTGAACAGCTTACTTACCGTTTTAACCAAATTCAGGCTATCCTCATTATCTAATGGAGTGATTCTAGAACAATAATGATAATTAAACATTTAAAGACTGGGTCATGTTGAATGACTTCCTAACAGTCAAAAAAGCTATCTCATTTTAAAATACTCTTATCTGTATAGGCCATTTCAGTCAATTAGACAACATATGGATTAAAAAAGCACAAGTCTGTGATATCAACTAAGTTAAAAGCACTTTTTTTTAAATGGAAACTCTTAATGGGCTCATGCTGCTTCTACTCATTAACAGAGTTAATAAAAATGCTCTGCGCAGATGTTTTACTATTATTTTTAAACAGTACTAAGATTCCAGAGAATCAGAGAGATACGAATCCATTACAATGTCTCATACAGAAAAGCATGTAATGCTCGCTCTGTACGAAACAATCAAATGCAATGTCTTCCCAGAAGCTCTGAGAGTGCAAAATATAAGCTCTTATTAATCAGTACTTTTTTTTTTTTTTTACAGTCAGTAATGAGGAAAAAAAAAAAGCAAGATAGTGGTACAAACCTTCCATGATTATTCAAAGCCTGAATTTGAAAAGAGATTTTGGAGCTGCAGAACAGAAATTGTACTGGTGAAAAAAGTGTTTTATACTTCTACTGCATACAAAAACATGCAATGATGAGTTTACAGCAAAACGACAGCTTAAGTGATTAAAATCAGGAAAAGAAAAACAGAACAATTATCTTAATTTTAAAATGTTTTAATGCATTATGAAAAGTCTTGGAATTTGACTGCCATGCAAGTTAAACTTGAAAATTAAGATTTTGGGTATTTTCTCCCCAAAAGAAACTAATACATTGATACAATACAACAACTAATAGCTATCTGAAAGTACATACCGTAATGCAGTTTTGAGTTGTGTTAAATGAAGGGTATCTAACACAGACATAAACACCTGCTCTGCTACCTCCTTTGCCTGAAAAATGAAAAGCAAGAATAGAGCATCTTTTCCCATACTTAGAATTCCCAGCAACTAAAGGAGCACCCATCAGATAAGCAGAGACCATACACCAAACAGTAACACACTGATGCACCAGGCTCAAGTTTGTTCTTTGGTATCTCTCTAATTTTCCTTACTACAAGGTTTGGAAAACTCATGAGAGATGAGAAACTACCGTAAAAAGATACGACTAGATATACTCTGAAATTTCACTCATTCAGCAGAATTCAGAGAGATCGGTTGGAGGCCATGGTATTAATGTCATTAATGTTATGCAGTTATCCCAAATGTTTTACTTGTTATTTTGGTTTGCACGTAATCTTGTAACGCAAGCAGTCCAAATCAACAATTATAAGGTACGGAATCAGCACTTCATTTACCTTGGATTCAGTGGAAGTTTTAGCATAGCACTCAATGCCAGCAAGCACAGCCTCTACAACAGCAGTATATATTTGCGACAACAGCATACTGAAGAGAAATACAAACACAGCATTTACTAGACAGATAGAGTTTGGCTTTCTCCTCTTTTTAAAGGAGCATTTTTTGCTCTCATAACACAGAACTCCCTTATATGGCAGGGGTCCTTGTTTAAAAAAAAAAAAGTATACGTATTTTTTAACCTCTATCATCCCAGTTTAAAAAATGAGAGCGAGTAAATTGCTCAAATTAAAGAATATCTTAAAAAAAAAAAATTCACAGTGCAAGTGTAACCCTGTTCTCATCACAATCAAGAAAAAAAATGTTTTATTGTTGACTTTCTCTGGAATTGTCTCAAGGACCACATCCTAAATATTGAAATGGAGTGGTAGCTTTGCACTCTGTAAAAGCAAGACTGGGAAACAGACTGAACCAACTTCAGAGAATGTCTTGTTCTGAAGGATGTCAAGCAGAAAAAATAACAAAATAAACCAGTTACTGCAAATTTTTGAGCACATCTATAGCACAGCTTAATCCAATTCTCTTTTTTAAAAGAGAACTGAAAGGACAGTACTGAAACTGCAACTTTTTGAGCACATCTATAGCATAGCTTAATCCAATTCTCTTTTAAAAAGAGAACTGAAAGGACAGTACTGAAATAAATGAAGATTAGGTAAAGTCAGAAGTGATTTACAACTCCTGACATATTTATAGCTCCAAAGTTGTTCAAAAACCACTTGAGCCCAGCTAAGGAGTCATAGCCTCCATCTTCCAACCAAACTGGAACAGGAAGTTAAACAGATCGGCAGAATATTCCTACTTCCCCAAACTTGAACTCCTCTTGCTACTCCTCTGCAACTGCCAGATTTTAAGGGAGGGAAGGAGAAAAGGAGGGAAAG